CCTTTTTTTGTTGGATTGTCTGCATAAGGCGATGACTTCAAGAAACCCTAAATAATCACAATAATTGCCGTTCTTGTCATTTGTTCACAAAGACATTTAATTTTAATATCTGCAGATTAGGAATACAATGATTTAAGTTTTTAAGACTTATTCAGACCAGCTGAAAACACAAATTCGTCCTCAGCACTAGTGTATTCATTAACACCTTTTGACTGTATCCTCACATCAGTTTCAACATGTAAACAAACATGCTGCTTGACAGCCGTGTTGTCGTACCAGAGGGAACGCGTTAATAACAGTGGTAACACTTCGAACCACAAGTGAGTTCCAGTCAAAAGGTGTTAATGAATACACTTTAACATCAACACATGATGCAACAAACCCCCTCCTCACACGAGAGCCTTCACTACAGACATGACGAAAAGACAACTGAACTTTTTATCACGAACCTGAAAACCAGACAAACTCTGAAAAACTCAAACATCAGATGCAGTCAAAATGCCTCTCTGTAACATGATAATGTATGATACCATACCATAAATACATTCAAGTCATTGCATCATGGTGACACACAAGATGTTAAACAAAATAAGCTTTTGGCTTTGGCTAACCTGGGAACCATTTTAGGAGAAAAATTAAACTTGACATGTTGGAAATACACCAGTAGGTCATTTTTAAACCAAATGTAAAATAGGGCAAGAAAAGTCTTGCCAGTCCGAGAGGCCCAATCACGCCCTATTCAAGGCTTAGGAAGTAGGTTCTCTCTCGATGATGGTATACCGGGACAGGACAGAAGAATTGACCTTTAACCATAGCTTGATGTAAACGTACTGACAGATAAAGAAGGGGACCTGTCTCCAAAGCTTTAATTAATTCCACTATTTCTGGACTTTTCCTTAGCTATTTTCGAGGACACAGAAGATCTCACGTGTCAAATGGACTTCTTTGCAGCATTGACCAGTCCTTGCAGGTTGCATAAAGGCAGAGGTGTCAAAAGTATTCACATTCATTACTCAGGTAGAAGTATAGATACTAGGGTTTAAAAAGACTTCTGTGGAAGTTGAAGTATCAACTCAAGCTTTTTACTCAAGTAAAAGTTTAAAAGTACTGGTTTTAAAAATAATAGAAATATAAAAGTAAAAGTAATGTAAGGGGGAAAAATGCCATTAAGGACAAAAGCTTAGGCCACGCCACAGGGGCCTATAGTGCACTACCCCACTTCCCCCCCAAAAAAAACATTTTTTCTGAAGGCCATAAATGACTAAATGTTAAATTAAAATGTTAATGTTGAAAAATTTGGGATGCACCTGTTTCAGGCGCATTTATGCCCATTGAAATGCAAATACATTAAAGAACCATATATGTGTACTAGTGAGCATTAACATGTGTTTCATGGAGCGGAAGATATGATGACTAGTTGCCTATAAGTATTGTGATGGTGCAAAAAGTCAAACTTCAGAGGCATGTAATCAATAGCCTTTATTGGAATGTAGATGTACATCCAAGCTTAGCTGCAGGAATCTGTGAGGGCAACGGATGTAAGATAACAAAACTGGTACAATCGTGCTTCAGCACTGTACGGAGCAGCCGAGCCTAGTGTGAGTGCGCCTTGTAACTCCCAAACCCTAGAGGTTAAGAGGCTTCAGCTCTGGAATGAATCCAGTTTCCACATCGTGGTTTGTCTCCATGACTCTTCAAGCTTTCACTATGAGTTCTCCTCAAGCTCCTCTTCAGACACTTGTTTCAAGGTCCTGGTAAAAATGTAGATCTCTCCGATTTCAGCCTCTTAACGAGCCTGCAAACTGTGTTATGTTATGTTATGCCATGTTTGGTTTCAAAAGGTTGTTCCCTGATGAGAAGGGGAGGTCAAGTTTTGAATGGTGTGTTCATGTTGTATCAGGGCGATTGTCTTTCTGTTTCTAGTCTCCGGGTTTCTGTTCCTGCTCTTCCAGCTTAGAATGGTTTTCACGCATGCGGAAAATTCAAGAAAATGTTGTGGAAGCTGCACCTGAAATCTTGCTGGTTAGCTAGTTCACACACATGTACCGGCTTTCTCTGTTGAACAGGAGGGGCGGCCTCAGGAGGCAGGAAATGACTTTAAATTAACAACATTGAAGTGGCGAATAAAACAAGAGTTACGTATGTAACTACAGGTCTATGAATTCGTACTGACCGGCAGAGGCAGTTCTTAACACTGGATAATATCTGTCTCGTTCATGCGCAGTCACATGTGACCAGGGATGACGCATGACGTAGCTTAAATGGCCCGCGTCATCACGTGAGACGTCCTTACAGAATCTTCTCGCCAAGAGTGACAGAGAACTCTGGTGGTCATCCAGAATTCATAGAATTGTAGTTACATACGTAACGCTCGTTGAATTTCATTCTTACTGACCGCCAGAGGCAGTTCTTAACACTGGATGACTAATACCAGCATGGTCACGAGGAATCCCAACTCACCGTGAACGGTGTAAAGATGGGCAAAGGTACATGGTGTGGCCCAAGTGGCTGCAGCGCATATCTCACTGAGAGGGACCCCCATAGTGCTGCCCAGGAAGAGGAGACACTCCTGGTGGAATGGCCCCTGATATTAAGAGGCAGACTCCTTGACCCGTGGGCCTCCTCAATTGCCATAACTATCCACCTGGAAAGTCTCTGTTTGTCCTTTCTTGTGGCCCCCATAGCAGATAAACAGCCAATCAGAGTGGTGAGGTTAACTGGATGTAGTGTCTCAAGGCCCTAACTAGGCAGAGCAGCTCTGCTGAATTGGCTTCCTCATCCTGCAGGGATGAGGGGAGATAAGGGCCGTTTCTGAATAGCCACAGTTCAGTTGGCAGTACTTTTCAGTATGGAGTTTCAGTATACTGAACTTTCGTGGTCATTCAGTAGACATTTTTTGGGTCCACCTCAGTATACAGAACATTTCAGCATGGATACTAACTTCCGGGTTTTATGCAGTATGGATCGGATGCATCCTTTCATGAAATGAATTGTATTTGACCACCCACAATGCTGTGTGAAATTAAATGTAAATCGTCACTTCACGTGTGTAAATGACCTAAACCTATTTATTCTTAAGATAACTATTTCCTTCAAGCCCTTGTTTTATTTGTGCCTCTTTACAAAAAGGGTATTTTATTTTGGTAGTCACTTGGCAGAAGTGGAGGTCATAACTGAAAGTGTTCGACTTGACATGTAAACACCGGGTAACAGGTTAATTTGACTGGAGCAGAGAACGAGGGAAAAGACTGCAACATTGCTCTTCAACATATAAAGTTCTTTTTGTGATAATTTAGCACCTAGCTGGAACGGGAACAAGGTATTGTGTGTGTTTTGTTGTTTATGGTGATTTTGTGCAATTTAGCTGCCTCGTTAAGGTTAACGGTCATACTTTTCATCTTAGTCACGCTACCCTGTTAGCGCTTTAGCTGTGGTTGTTTGTATGCTAAAGGTTATATAGCATAACGGTTTGTGTAAGTAAACTTTTGATTAATGTCCTTGTGTGTTGTTAACATGTCACACAGATAATTATTTGTTTCTGATGGCTCACTTTGTATTATCTGTTTTGTAAGAGCTAATTTTATGCTATTTGTCTGTCCTGTAGCTCTTGCGGTGTTTCAAGGAGAAAAGGAATACGTTTATGTTCAAAATATGGAATAAGGCCGAACATAATTAAAGGCTTATGAGAAACATCAGTACGCTTCATCATTGTCTGGCTGGGGTTCGCTACAACAATCCAAATCAAAACAAACGAGCATGGATTAATTAATTAATTAATTTTTAATCTTTAAAGTCCTTACTGAGGACTCGTCATCTCCATCAGGGAAAACCATAGAGGGCAGTGGGTCAAGGACCTCGAAGCAAACAGGTCCACCTCTGCCTCGCTATATCTGCGCCATATCTCCTCTATCACCTCTGGGTGGAGCCTCCACTCCCCCGAGATAGGCTTCTGGCGAGAAAGTCGCCACCACGTTCTGTGGCCCTGGCAGGTGCATGGCCCTGAGGCTGGCAAGGCGAGGGAAAGCCCATACAAGGAGCTTTTCCCTGCACCACCCGCAGCCGTGGTCACACAACCGTGAGACAATCGACCTTGTGGTGCAAGCACGAACACTTCTCACAGTGAAATAATCAACCAAAACAAAACCCTAAACCAGGCTCTTCTCAAAATTAAAACACTGCCCAGCTAGGAAGGGATAATACTTACCTCACCATTCCAACTTCCGAGCTAGCAACAGCCAGTCCGTATTGTTAGGCGCTGATAGCCCCAGCGAAAACACTGGTCAGACAGCTCGGTACGGTGAAACAATGTAGCCGTAAGTGCTTAATCGCAGCCCTTGGAGGCTGAAATTCAAAAGCTCCAACCATGCGGTTACAGGGATCCAAGCGAAAAGAGGGTAGAAGAAGAACATATTGCAGCAGGTTCATTACGTGCACAAAGATTGTACCAGACAGACGCATACAGTCTGGTCGTGCATCAGATGCAGGGTACAGACATCATCTCTCCCTCCCTCTCGCTTGTGCTGAACTATCCTAAATATTTCCTGCTGTGTTCTCACAACCTGCTCAAAGCGACTTCATGCAGAAAATTTGCGAGGTGGGCTGGCAGGAAAAATCCAGGGTTAACTCTGAATTCACACATGCAGCACATCCCGAAAAACTTCTGGATGTTTGGAAGTGTTTTACATGTTTGAGGGCACCATTACAGTTCAGATGTTTTGTGTCCTGGTTTTTTTTAGTTGCACGGTTAAAACCTTTGTGTTGTGTTGGAAAAAGACGGTAGAAGGGAGGGGGGAATAATCAAGGGAGAGGTGAGGAAGAGGAGGAGAGATCAGAAGAAAGGACAATACTGACTACAGCCGCCCATTTGCCTATAGAACTGACAGGGATGAAGAGGATGACTAGGGAATTGCCGTCAGAGATAAGTGAGCTGTGATAATTCTGGCACTCAGAGAGCAGACTGAGCTCAGCAGGATCAGGTCACCATCTCCCCTCAGAGCTGGATGGTGGATGACCAGCAGGGAGCCGAGCTCTGCTACCCTCAGCGCCTCAACTCGTCTTGCAGGGGTATAAGGCGCCCTCGCACTGAGGCCATCCTCTCCTATGCTTTGCTCTCTTCCATCGCTGTCCTCACTGTTGTTCTCAACCTGCTTGTCATCATCTCCATCTCTCACTTCAGACAGCTTCACACCCCCACCAACCTGCTCCTGCTCTCCCTGGCCATCTCGGACCTCCTTGTTGGGCTGCTGGTGATGCCGGTGGAAATGGTGCGGCTCATAGAAACCTGCTGGCTGCTGGGAGATCTCATGTGTGCTATGTCTCACATTATAGCCTTCACTCTTACCTCGGCCTCTGTGGGGAACATGGTGCTCATATCGATCGATCGCTATGTAGCTATTTGTCATCCTCTGCAGTACTCCCACCAAATCACTCGCAGTCGAGTGGAGCTGTGTGTGTGTCTGTGTTGGGCCTGCTCAATCCTTTACAACGGGCTGATCTTAAAGGAACATCTGAGGCAGCCCGACAGATATAACTCTTGCTTTGGGGAGTGTGTGGTGGTGATTAACTATGTTATAGGAACAGTAGACCTCGTGTTCACCTTTATCGGCCCCTGTGTGGTCATCCTTGTTCTGTACATGAGAGTGTTTATCGTGGCAGTGTCTCAGGCTCGTGCCATGCAGACTCATATTACAGGGGCTGCAGTCGGCAAGGTTCGAATCAACGCAGTGAAATCAGAGAGAAAGGCGGCCAGGACTCTGGGCATAGTCATACTGGTGTTTTTGATAACTTTCTGTCCATATTACTACCCCTCTCTTGCAGGACAAGACATATCAAACAGTGCATCGTCGTGGGCCATCGTGACTTGGCTGCTGTACTTTAACTCTTGTTTGAACCCTCTCATATATGCTTTGTTCTATCCGTGGTTTAGAAAAGCGATCAAGTTCATTGTCACACTGAAGATCCTGGAGCAGTACTCGTCTCTGACTAACATACTTTAAAGATATGATGTTTATCACCTGTTTAGCCTGAGTGTGAACAATTATCAAACATCTGTCAGGTATGCAAAATGATCAGTGTACATGCTGAATGTTTTATGTCATATGTTTGATGTCACTGAAACAAAGAGAAAGACGTCTAGCACACTGCAGGCTCCAGAAATATATTCCACCAGGGTGACGAAGAGCAGGTGTTGCTCAGACTGTCACCCCAGTGAAATACGTTACAGGGATATTGAAGCCCTGAGGTGTGCGAGCCGTCTTTCTCTTTCACTTTTTTTTGCTTGACTCTGAACCTGTCCTTTAGGTTTGGATGTGGGATTTCTGGATTGTTGTACATATGTTTGATATCACACTGTGCATTTATGCCTTTCCTTATTTCTCCTTTGCTCTACTCTCTGTAAGCAGTGTGATGTTTGAAAGATTAGGGACTCAGTTTGAAGTCGAGAGCTGCAACGTTTACTAAAACAAAAAGGAATTCTTGTTATTCAACTTATTCAAAGTCTTTTGTTAAGCAAAAATGTGAATGTAAATGTTGTTTCCCCCGTTCTAAATGTGATAATGTTCCATGTTTCCAGGTTTTTGGGGGGGCTTTGTATCATCTAAATGAAACTTTTATTCAAATTTAAGATTAAAAAAAGATGATGATCCATGAGTGTGATGAGATGTGAAAATTATTGTTGGCTGCAGCCGTCAGAAAAGGATGATCAGGTGACAGTTATTAGAATATAAACAAATAGATTCAAACACACCTATGAAATCCAAAACACATGTATAAAGGACCCTGAACCATCCCATACAACACACACACAAACATACACACACACACACACACACACCTGTTCCTAGAGCACACACACACACACACACACACACACACACACACACACACACACACACCTGTTCCTAGAGCACACACACAAGACCATACAGCAACCGCACATATGCACACACACATACACGCATACCTCACTAAGAGGGGACTATCAGTCTACACTATCCAAGTGTGGTCTTCCTGGTAATTTTAAAAATACAAAAAAATTAATACCACATTTACTTTTGATGTGTTTAACTATAATATTAGTTAAAATATATAGATATTTATTTTAAAACAGGTTGCCAAAAGGGAACTTGCAGGCTTGAGGGATGTCTACATCTCTCAGAGGGAACTTCCATTCAATGCAGTGGGGGGTCAGGCTTTCACCTCATGAATACTTGTTGACTGCAAAATCATTTTATTTATTTTAAATAGTGGATGATTTAACCTTAATTTAATCCACATTTCAACATTTTTTTAAATATATTAATTGTGGGAAAAAGCAAGTCACAAGCAGTATAAAATATAATACAGAATATTTAACCTGCAATCAGATGTGACCTGTCAGCATGCACTACTATCAAGGACTGTAGTATCAGCTAGAGATTTACTTAATCCAGGATTTAATTGTATAAAATATTAACTTAAATGTCTACATATTGTTTAAACCTGTGAACTTAGTTCAAATTAATTTATATTTATGATACACACACACACACACACACACACACACACACACACACAGAGGTAAACTAGCAGCAAAAGGCATGAGAAAAAAGCAGTGTGATGAGACCGCTCTGAGAGGAACTTAAAGTCTCTGCAGACCTCGGGTCAGCGAGCAGTTTGTTCTACAGAATGCCATGTGAGCAGAACTCTTCTTCAGATGCTTTATTGTTCTGTTCTGGCTGATCTCTTTTAAAGTGCCTAAACCTTTAAAACCCTTCATTCATAGTTGCAGCCGTTATTCATCACAGTAATCTAATGCAGCAGGTTGTTTAATGCATTCATGAATCTTTAACATGAAGCGACTGAACCTTTTTTTATTTTCTCTGATAATTTGTTGTGTTTTTTTTGCTCTTGTTAATGTGTTGTTACGCACAAGACTTTGACGGTTATTGACAATTAATCAACAGAGACTCGGAGTGTTTCTTATTCGTGCTTTGAGCTCTGATTAACCCTAACATGTACATACTGCTCATATTCAATGTTTCTCAGTATGGCACCATAAAAAGCATCAAATGTTGCACTACAAATCTATTTAAAAAGTATAATTAGACTATCTGACGATTATCAATGATAAATCCTAACTCTATGTATCAGAGAGCGTGGAGAGTGTATTTTTAGGGTGTACACCACTCCTTCAGGAGAAAATTATTTACTCGTACACAATATCATGTACAGCTGAAACGAGTCCTCGAGTAACTAGATTTCTAAAATGCCTCGAGACTTCATCTAAATCCGCAGACCATGTCTCTGCTCTGCCAAAGAGTACAAATCGAGAGCGAGTTTTCGTCTTTGACACACGCACACTGACACGCATCTCCTATATGGTTTGTATTGGCTTTTTAAAAGATTTCCCTGAAACATTTACGAGACAGCTATTATTCCCCCAGCAACTTTCCTTATTTTAATTGACACTCGCTTAAAGCTCCTAAAGGGCAAAAACTGGTATGTCAATTTTTCACAATCGTCTTTCCCCCACTTTTTGATGATTTCTATGGATTATGAAAACAGTTGGCATTGCGTCATAGTTGGGGGTGGGGTGTCCCGTGGCGGAAAATGATCCTTTCCCCCAGCCACTAATAATGCAAAGGCACAGATTTGAACCTGCGATGCTGGAACTTACAAGCTGTCACGTACCATATTCATTTATTTCTGTATATTGACAAAGAAAGATATAGAAATGAAATGAAAGGAATAGAATTGAATTGTTGTCGTTCCCATATATATTTAGCCGATTGAATCACCGGTAACAGACAATATCACATTCATTTAAAATTGTATCAATTACACGTAACATAAAATTAGTAACCTGGTACTGGACAACCACTAAGAAAGCTCATTTAGCAAAACATGGGATGCATTCCACTTGCCTTTTAACTGTTAATCCTACATGGTCCCCTTGAAACAATCTTACACAGTTTGTATAAGGTAAAAATTATGTTTAAGTTAACTGTACTGCAGTGATGCAGTTCTGACTACAGGCCTACACGTTTAAATTTTGGATCCAACTGGCAACTAAGCTCTTCCTCCCGCTTCCCGTCTCTTGTATTCTGCTCTGTGCTTCTGTGGGAGAACATTTAAAACCTCAGATTTAACTTTCTCAGTTTATTTGTAGAGATGAAGGGCACGCAGCAGGCCTTTAGCATTGTGTCTAGCGGTTTGTTTTCCCCCTCAGCCCAAACCAGATGTGATGTTTTGTGGGAAATCAGACGTGACTCTCTCAGCAGAAGCTTGTCAGTGACTCTGTCACTCACTCAGTTGAGTCCCTGTCATTCACTTATTGCCCCCTCTGTCCTCCTGTTTCTGGACAAAGTAACATGTGCTTTGAAGCCTGTTAGTTAAAAAAGCAGGGTGGAATCCAGACTTTTTAGACTGGGGTGGCCCAGCCCAGGCCCTGACTTATGCAGGGGTGGCATGAAGTTTTTGTGCAAACAACAAAATGTTTATTATTTATTTACCCTAGTTAACAAATTTATTGACACAACAAAAAAGTACAAATCTTTTTTTTTTGATGAAGTAGTTATTTTGTTCCCTGCTCTGTCACAGCTCTGCTGTATGGATCTCAGCTTTTTGCATTGACTCACCTCTGATCCTCTCTGCTCACCGGTCACACCCTACTCGTCAATCAATCACTCAATCACTCAATCATTATTTCTATAGCGCCAATTCATAACAAGTCTAAAGACGCTTTACAAAAAGCATATGGATTTATCTGCTGGCAGGATTTTTACTTTGTATTCCTCACGTTCCTGTTGTCCACACTTCCTTACAGCTGAGGTGGAGGTCGGAGCAGTCCGTGCATGAATGAGGATGCTGTGATTGTGGGGACGACACAGTCTGATGGTGGTGGCTGAGCGTCAGCTGGTGGTTGGGACAACACAGTCCGATGGTGGAGCCTGGGGGTTGGGTGGTGGTTAAGGCAAGACACAGTCCAATGATACTGGCTGGGCGTCAGGGACAATCAAGCCTCAAGACTCATCAAGCAACTCAGTACACCTGGGCGCACAGCTGCAGATCATCCGTAATCAAACAGGTACTTAATCCTCTCCCATTCACCAGTTTGTAGCAAGATTATTCTTCGCCTCCATGTAAGGCTTTCCCACACTCATCCTAGGACTGATTACCCGCCTGCCTCTGACTACCAATACTCCCACTGTCACACTCTCACCAATGCCCCAGCTTTTTTCAAGCCCTGGTCAACAGTATCCTCAGAGACATGCTGAACAAGTTTGTGTTTGTCTGTCTGGACGACTTTGGGATCTTTTCCAAGAATAAAGAGGAACATGTTCACAGTGTTTAGACAGTCCTTCAACACCTCCTGGAGAACTCACCTTTTTGTCAAAACTTAAAAGTGTGAGTTTCACTCCCTGTCTGTCTCATTCCTGGGGTACATTGGTGGGCAGGGAATCATCCAGATGGACACTGCCAAGGTTTCTCCAGTTTTTCATTGGCCCGTTTCTGATTCCTGCAACCAACTTCAAAGGGTTCTGTGGTTCGCCAACTGTGACTGCAGGTTCATCCGGAGCTACAACACAGTAGGTGGTCCCCTCAAAGCCCTGACCTCCTCCAAAGTGCTGTTCCGGTGATACTCTTCAGCTGATGAGGCCATCCAGACCATCAAGTCCCGATTCACATCTGCACCCATCCTCCAGATGCCAGATCCAGTGAGACAGTTTGTAGTCGAGGTGGAATTGAGAGCTGTTAAATTGGCCCTTACAGAATGGCATCACTATAACCAGCACAAACCATCCCACCAAGCCCCTGCTAGCTTACTACAATCCTTGCCTGTGCTGCCTCACCAGTCTGCCCCCATCCCATAGTCATACCTGCATCCTGACGTTGGTAGACTGGTTCAGTAAGATTGCCCACATTGTGCCCTTGCCCAAACTTCCGTGGATGGAGACATCTCTTCCAAGGACCCATCATCCTGGTCTCGACAGCTTTTGTGGGTGGAATATGCCCA